AGGTTTGAATCTTATAGAAAGTATTACCATCTAGATGATCATAAATATGGATTTCTGATCAGTATCAACTAAGAAGAAATTGAATTTCAAGGTTACTTGTTAACTATTTCCAATTACATAATGAATTCACGAATTCAATTCTTATTTCTGCCATATTTACTGAACAATTCTTTTTTTTCAGAAGGGGTTTTGTGGAGATTTCAGTATTTGCATAGTTGAAATCATGAGTCAATTGAAGTTAGACATTAACACCATTGGATGCCTGCTCAATGGTCTATCGCTTGAGTGCTCTGGCGCGAGACTGGTAGGTCCTGGGTTAGAATCTCTCAAGGTGTAATCGTGGATGCAGGCTGCTAAGGAGTCCCACAATGGGACGAAACGGTCGTCTAGTGCTTCCAGGTTTTCGATGGTGGTCTAGCTTCAATTGACTCATGCTTTCAACTATGCGAATTCTTCTCTTAACTTGGTAGATATTTTTTACTTTCATTAAATATATATCACAATCCTTATGAAGAAAACGGTATAATTTTAATTAAATCAATCTAATCATAAAAATAAATTTCGATAGTGTAATAGAAAGGCGAAGATTATCGAAACTATGTAATAGATTAGCCCAATACATTTCGAACAATCTAATCACACATATATTTAGAACGGGGCTTTGTGGAGATTTATTATTTTCATAGTTGAAAGCATGAGTCAATTGAAGCTAAACCGGTTAAGTGCTCTGTCGTGAGACTGGTGGGTCATGGGTTTGAATCTCGCGAGGCGAAGTTGTGGATGCGCACTTTTGAGGAGTCCCACAGTAGGACCAAACGGCCGTTCAGTGCTTCCGGGTTTTCTATGATGGTCTAGCTTCAATTCACTCATGATTTCAACACATATATTTGTTAACAGCATTTGCTAAGAACAGGGATAATAATAATAATGTGAAAACAATTTGAAACCTAATCACACTCTTGGTAAGCAAAGATGGATAGTGGCTAGCAGTGGAATCCAGGATGCGCGTTTCGTCCTATTTGGGACTCGTCAGCTGGATGCACCTAATCACACTTTGGTTAATAAGCTAATATTACCAGGGTAGGTTTAAGGTGATATTAGCTTATTATCCAGAGTGATTAGGTTTTACTTTGTTTTCACATTATTATTATTATTATCCTCTCACCACTTACGTTTATGCACAATATGTTATATTTACGCTTATCATTTCACATCACAAATCTCTTACACACTAATACATATACCTAGTTTAGACATTTTGAACGTTGATTGGATGACCTATTCAGTATACAATGTAACGAATAACCATGTACCTATTTATATTCGATAATTTTGATGCTTGATTATAAATTACTTGAAAAGCTTGGGCCAAATTGCTAGGCGAAACGTTGGATTTACTTCAAATTCATTCGCTGAGATTTTACAAATATATATAATTCCTAGTTAATGTTTTAAATCAACTTGGCGCCCAAATACTACTTACTACTACTACTACTTACGCCTGTTACCCCTCGTCGAGGAGCATAGGCCGCTCACCAGCATTCTCCATCCAACTCTGTCCTGAGCCTTCCTTTCCAGTTCTTTCCAGTTGCTATTCAGCCTTTTCATATCTGCTTCTATTTCCCGGCGTAGTGTGTTCTTTGGCCTTCCTCTTTTCCGCTTCCCTTCTGGATTCCAAATTAGGGATTGAGTCGTGATGCACATTGGTGATTTCCTTAATGTATGTCCGATCCACTTCCAACGTCTTTTCCTAATTTCCTCTTCAGCTGAAAGCTGGTTTGTCCTCTCCCATAAAACGCTGTTGCTGATAGTATCCGGCCAGTGGATGTTGAGTATTTTGCGTAGACAACTGTTTATAAATACTTGTACCTTCCTGATGATGGCCGTAGTAGTTCTCCACGTTTCAGCTCCATACAGTAGGACTGTCTTGACGTTCGTATTAAAGATTCTGACCTTGAAATTAGTTCAGAGTTGTTTTGAGTTCCATATGTTCTTCAATTGTAGAAATGCTGCCCTTCCTTTGCCAATCCTCGCCTTTACATCTGCATCTGATCCTCCTTGTTTATCAACGATGCTCCCCAGGTACTTGAATGTTTCCACCTCTTCCAGAGTTTCGCCGTCAAGTGTGATTGGGTTGGTGTTCTCCGTGTTGCATTTGAGAATCTTGCTTTTTCCTTTGTGAATGTGGAGACCTATCGATGCGGAGGCTGCTGCTACATTTGCGGTCTTCATCTGCATTTGGTCGTGTGTATGAGAGAGGAGGGCTAGGTCATCTGCGAAGTCCAAATCATCTAATTGATTCTGAGCTGTCCATTGTATTCCGTATTTCCCTTCAGATGTCGAATTCTTCATAATCCAGTCAATCACTAGAAGGAAGAGGAATGGGGAGAGTAGACAGCCTTGTCTGACTCCGGTCCTTACTGGGAATGCACCTGTCAGCTGTCCTCCATGCACCACTTTGCACTGTAATCCATCGTATGAGTTTTGGATAATGTTGACGATCTTCTGAGGAACTCCATAGTGTCGAAGAAGTTTCCATAATGTTCTCCTGTCCACGCTGTCAAACGCCTTCTCGTAGTCAATAAAGTTGACGTATAGTGATGAGTTCCACTCAACTGATTGTTCAACGATGATCCGTAGTGTCGCAATCTGGTCTGTGCACGACCGATCCTTACGGAATCCAGCCTGATGATCCCTTAGTTCGGCTGGCGCCCAAATACTATGAAACTATTCGCTCTAATTTAAACGAAAGTTCTTATATTATTATTATTATCATCATCATTACTAATATTATTATCCTTGTCTTCTCTTAGCCCCTCCCCCATCTCTAGTCTAGTTGACCTGTTATATAAATGTTCTTAATAAGTATATAGTGTGTGATCAGATTGTTCGAAATGTATTGCGCTAATATATCATCACATAGTTCTGATAATCTTCGTCTTCTGATTACACCATCAAAATTTATCAAAGAGACTAATTCCATAAAAATAAGTTAAAAAATCTTGTTTAAGTTACTTATTATTAAAGACAGTAATATATATCTGCATCTACAAATAATATTTAATGTACTCATGATCTCAACTATATAAAATTACTAAAATTTCCACAAAACCCCTTCTGATAATGATCATATGCTCACTAGTGACTGTTTCCATGAGGTATTTCGTGGAGTTCTAGTGAGAAGCAGTAACCAATGGAGTTGAACCAGGTCTGTTGGGAGATATCAACTCACTGATGACATAGGTGAATGGTTGCTCAAACATTGTGGATTGGTTGAAGTTGGACATTAACATCGTTGGATGCCGGCTCAGTGGTCTGTCGGTTAAGGGCTTCGGCTCGAGACTGGTAGGTCCTGGGTTCGAATCTCGTGAGTGCGGGATCGTGGATGCGCACTGTTGAGGAGTCCCATAATAGGACGAAACGGCCGTTCAGTGCTTCCAGGTTTTCGATGGTGGTCTAGCTTCAATTGACTCATGATTTCAACTGTGAAAATTAAAAATGATTAGACGATCATAATATTCATTCCTACGCTGGTGATTAATTTATATTCACATTTAGTAAGGTAATTATTTTCAGTAGAACAGATTCATGAAGAATTAGTTATGAAGTTTGAGAAGTTATTACTTGTATTGGTTACATTCACAGAAATTTGATTAAGACTTAGTCATACAATTTGACAACTTAAGTATGATAAACTACAGCCTTTATGTAGATACGAGTTCTTATTGTTTATGACAGTTTCATTTGATAAGTTTTGTCATTAAAAAAACATTTGTAAGCCATGAATTTTCATTATTTAATGTATTTCTTTAGAGTTGAGAAAATAGAAGCAGATATGAAAAGGATGAATAGAGGCTGGAAAGAACTGGAATTGATTGCCCTAGACAGGTTTAGATGAAGAATACTGGTGTGCGGCCTATGCTCCTCTACGAGGGGTAACAGGCGTATTTTTATTCTGTTTATTTAAACACATAAATATTAGCATATAATTCCCATTTAAACATTAAAATTAAAAACACGAAGTTCAGCGAAGGGATCACTTTTCAACGAATTTGTTATCAAGCTGTACAATCGTATATATATATGAAAATGTTTTGTTAAATATTAGTAAATATTAGTACAAGGAAGTACAAATCTCATTCGATTTGTGTGATGGCTGTGCTACTGGTCAGGTGCCCAGACTGAAGCAGGTGGTTTTCTTAGGGGGCCACACTCGGAGCCTTTGACCTAAAAGTCTAATGCACAAGGCAGTGGAGCATCGTGAGGAGATGTAATCCCATGGCAGCCGCTGACAACAATTGGTTCATACGGCATTTGTTCCCTCAGGATACTGGAGCACATGCGCACCATTGGTTTGGAATCAGGGTTTTCCAACTCCCCTAGGTAGAGTTTCTGTGTCTACCAACCCGGTTAAAGCACCGGACATTCGCTTTTTGTCCTCTCAGTTTTGTAAACAACACCTCTGCCACGAGAAGGCAGTGGGTAGAACTTCTCTGGCAGAGGCTATATACGCGTGGCCATGTGAGAGTATTTGGAGAGGGAGAGCAGACTCTCCCCACTGTCGACCGTACCAGGGTATCGGGAGGCGGCGTAAGTAAGTTGGAGTATGGAAATCGGGAGCATATATCACATTTAAATACGACTAAATTGCTAATGAAAATGATTATTGAAAGTTAGATATTATCAAATGATAAACTCAATCGTTTGTTTATCATTTCGACCTGTTAATAAAAACAATGTTATTGTGGGACTCCTCAGCAGTAGAGGCGCACTGCTGAAAAGTCCCACATTAGGATGAAACGGCCGTCCAGTGCTTCCAGGATTTCCATGGTAATCTAGCTTCAATTGACTCACGCTTTCAACTATGAAAATACTAAATCTGCACAAAAAATTCCTTCTGATAAAATTATCATGGTTTAAACGTAACTCAATAGATGATACTAAAAAATGTTTACTAAGTTGTAAAATTTTATTTTTTATACATTTTAAAATTAACTTACATGAACACCAACTGGTGGAGGAACAGATTTTACTTTTGATGAAGTTTCTACAAATCCATCTTTATTCATTTTTTCATTACATTCTTCAACTGTATTCACAATTGATCCAGCTGATACAAATCCTGAGCTTAAAGCTAATGGACTTGGTTGAAGATATGGACTATTACATTGTTCTAAAGTTACATCTGGTTTACGACGACATGGACTTAATGTAACAGAATGACGAAGGCTTGATTTCACACGTCCATGTATCCGTTTAGTATCTGTATTTGTTTCAGTGAAATCATCTGATTTTTCACTTATTAATAATTTAGGGCTTCTACATTTATTATCTGAATACAATGTTTGTTCTGTTGTATCAATTTTAAATTTGTTCTTATCCATTGGATTGTCTACTGATGAATTTTTATCTCCATTATTATACTGTGAAATTGATGAAATTGGAGAAAGAGAGATATTTTTATATGGTTTACTAATTTTAGTCCATTTACAGGTATTCGTTTTATTTTCTATTTTGACTACATCAATTGGTGTTAAATTTACTTCAGCTGGTGATCTTTCATTAGTTATTATTGAAGAGCCTGGATTGATTGGTGAAGTGGTAGTTTTGAATTTCTGTTGTTTGCTTTTGAGAATATAAAAATGAGACGTTAATAGAGTAATATGCTCAATAAACTATAGCTTACTGCTAATAATAATCATGCAACATTTTAAAACTGTATTCAAGCAGATAATCAAGAAGTAACCTTCAAAGATCTAATTCATTTTAAATTATGTTTACAGGTATTTTAAAACATCTATAAAAAAAAATGAAAACTGGCTCTGATTATAAGCAAAGATGGATAGTGGATAGCAGTGGAATCCAGGACGCGCGTTTCGTCTTATTTGGGACTCGTCAGCCCGGTGTACCTGTATCTCAGAGTTGATGTTCACTCTGGGACTCGAACCCAGTACCTTTCGCTTCCACTATCCATCTTTGATTAGAATGCTTGTGAATTAAGTCTATATCGAGGCAATACGCACAGTATGCACATATGCCAATTAGAGACTGACCAGTTGCAGTCCTAACACATCGATGGGAAGATTCAAACAAACAATACTAAATGAATTTTGGCTCTAATTATGTTATATCCTGGAAAATAATAAATGAACGGTAACTGCTAGGAGTTTTTTATGAACTGTTATTGACCTATCGACTTCTATTACAGGAATTACTGTTCTTAAATTATTCCTAATTTGATTGTTACAATCTCTCACAATCACAGATACTTTTTGGTTTGATCTTGTATATAGGCTGTGTATGTCTGAATTATATGATTCATATGGTGGAAGCTGAGATTGTGTTCTGGACTTAAACAGGCAGGGCTAGACGAGAAGTACCAATCAAGACTCAGAGTTAACTCCAGGCTTCCCGTACTGAATAACGTGTCATTGGTTTGGCACAATGCCAAAGTCATATAAGTTGGCGTTCTAATTGATGATCTTATCACGTAATAATTAACAGGACAAAAGTCATAACAAGATATTTCTTAAAGACTATTATCAAAGCAATCAGGAAGAAGCTCTGGAAGTGGATAGGACACGCATTGAGGAAATCACCCAACAGCGTCACAAGGCAAAACCTCACATGGAATCCTGAAGGCCTAATGAGAAGAGAAAGACAAAAAAAAACACATTACTGTGAGAAATGAAAACAGATATATGAAGAGTGAACCTACAATTGGATAGAACTAGAAAGGAAGATGGATGACAGAGTGATTGAGTTTAAGACTGCCGGTCGGCTGCCCATGCTCTATTGGGGGTAATAAGCGTAAGTTATGAAGTAAGTAAGTAATCAAAGCAAAAAAGTGGATGAATAAAAAGATATGATACGAATCTAACGATGAAATGCTATTAAAAGAAATGGAATAAAAGCGTGAAGATTTAAAAAAAATTAATCTTATTGAAAGTTAACACATGTTCAGTAGTTTACTGTTAATCCCAGTATAGCCAAAAATATTTTGTAAATGGATTTACTCTATTCAGTCTTCATATTATTTACTATTTATTTATTTTTCGAAGCTGAATTCCTAAATAGTTAAGAGATTTTAAGCAAATATTCTTAACTTCACTTAGTATTGCTTGTTTGACTCTTCCCATCGATGTTTAGGACTGCAATTGATCAGTCTCTTATTGGCATATATGTGCATACTGTGCGTATTGCCTCGATATAGCCTTGATTCACAAGCATTCTAAGCAAAGATGGATAGTGACTAGCAGTGGAATTCAAGACGAACGTTTCGTCCTATTTGGGACTAAATGTACCTGCATCTCACTCTGGAACTCCAACCCAGTACCATTTGCTTCAAACACCATCGTGTTATTCACTCAGCTACTGAGTCCTGATAGCCACATGCCTATGCCATTGGGTGAAGTTTTAATTCACTTGGTATTGTTTATTTGAATCTTCCTATTGATTTTTAGGACTGAAATTGATCATTCACTTGCTTATAATGCTTGTGAATTATGGCTATATCGAGGCAATAAGCACAGTATGCACATATAGCCAATAAGAGACTGACCAGTTGCAGTCCTAAAACATCAATGGACAGATACAAACAAACAATACTAAATGAATTCAGATTGTTAAATTGTTTTGTTTTTTTCATTTTTGTTCAATATTCAATTTTTAAAGTCAATGAACCCTAACTACAACTTTGATTCCTTGTAAAGAAGAAACAAAAGTTTACCTTATTACATAATAAAATATCCCCAATTGATTAGTTTCTTATCAACTAATGATTAATTCAAAGTTGAAATCATGAGTCAATTGAAGCTAGACCACCATCGAAAACCTGGAAGCACTGGACGGCCGTTTCGTACTATTATGGGACTCCTCAACAGTGCGCATCCACGAACCCACTCTCGCGGGATTCCAACCAAGGATACTGTAGTGAACAAAACACTGGTTGGGGACAATCGAATGTATTTAAGCAAAAGTTACAGACTATCTCAGTAAATTCTGATTACCAAACAATGAACAGTCAATTTGCAAATTAACAACAATTTGTTTCAATCTTCACTGTTTCTTCTCTTATTCCATTGCTCATGCATTTTCCAAACGACTGCGCTTCATTTCAGTCCTTTCCTCATCGGTCTTCTGCGAAAATACATTTTATGTCTGACCCACACCATATACTACTTATATAGATATAAGTAGACAACATCACAATACATGTCCTGGAGTTCTAGTGGGAAGCAGTGACCAGTGGAGTTCAACCACGTCCGTTTTGAGATATCAACTCACTGAAGACAATTGGTGAATGGTTGCTCAAACATTGTGGATTGGTTGAAGTTAGACATTAACATCGTTGGATGCCGGCTCAGTGATCTATAGGTTAAGTGCTCTGGCTCGAAACTGGTAGGTCCTGGGTTCGAATCTCGCTCGCGAGAGCAGGTTCGTGGATGCGCACTGCTGAGGAGTCCCATAATAGAACGAAACGGCCATCCAGTGCTTCCAGGTTTTCGATGGTGGTCTAGCTTCAGTTGACTAATGATTTCAACTTTGAAAAATACTGAAATCTCCACAAATCCCCTTCTAAATATAATGATTAATTATTTATTTATTTAAATAAAAAAAAATCAAATTAATATTGAATATTACACTACTAAAATTAAACTAACAAACGATTGTCCTATTACTGGATTCCATATACAAAAAATGTAAATAACTAAAAAAAGGATGATATTTTCAACAATAATCACAAGAGGAAAAATGGGGGGGGTGGAGGGTTGAATCATGTTAGATCGAAGAAAAAAGATGAACATTTGAAGAAAAAAATTTTGAAAAGTAGGAAAAAAAAACAAAAAAACGCACAACGATAAACCATTTGATATAAACAAAAAAATGTAGATAATATAATAAAATCAAATCAGAGAGACTGTTGTCATTGCAAGAATGACATTTAAATAGTAAGATGGAAAGATCTTTTTCACTCCCATTTGCTAGTATGTTTATATATATAGGTATATGGAATACGTTTCTTCATGGGAAAGTTAATATTGATCCATTTTGTTTCATCATAGTGTGTTTATTTTGGTGACGGTTTTTTTTCGCTTAAATTTGATCTACAAAATTTTGGAATTGTAACTGTTGTGGTACATTGACAACGAAATCTCAAGAAACAGTATACTTATGTAATCTATGTAAGAGCTGAATATAGTGGCATGGTCTAAATTTTCAGGATTATCGTCTTCTACAAACATATATTTATCGTTAATGATTTTTGTGTATGATTGAGATCATGAATCGATCAATGTTAGATCACTAATCCATCGATTCATGATCTCAGTCAGAAACTTAACAATCTTCACAAACCCTTATTGACAATTTTCGTTTAACTGGATTTGCATCAGTTAACTAATGACGTTTGTAACCTATCATGAATCTGTTTTGTTGAAAATTCAAGAAGTACCACTGTAGTTCATGCTACTTATGTTAACAGATATAAGTAGTATGTACCATCAATTAGAAAACTTATTAGCACAAGGCTAATAAGATCGAGTTGAAGAGAATAGAAGGGAAAATAGAAAGAAATTGTGAACTGCAAGAAATATACAGAATGTGAAGGACAAATGATGTGATTCTGCAAACGAAGTATTCTTTTGTAGGGTTCTCATAGTTTACCAAGATATTCCGTAATTTTTTAAAGCTTATTGGTAGTTTTCACTTATGTTGTTGTTCACAACACCACCATAGGAGGTTTATGTTTCTATACTTTATTTTCATTTAGAAAACTACCCAATTCATACATTTGGACTATTCGAAGGTTCAAAAAGATGCTATAATAATAGAAATGACCATAAGCATTAAAAAGAATATGCATGATAGATAAGTACTGCTTCAAACACGTTTTGTACGTGTTTTTCTGAATATTTACAAGTTAAATGTTTATAAAAAGAGAATATTATTGCTATTGAGCATATAATGAGCCAAGTTCTCTACTCAATGAAAGCGTACAAAAGATCTTTACCCAACAGACTCTATTACCGTGGATGAATTCAGGTCCAACAAATCAATAGTTAGAGTAACTTTAACCTGATTTAACTAGTATAAAAAAACCTCCCCTTTAGTATTTCATAACTTAAATTTACCTATTCCACTTTCATTATCGTCATTATCTACAAGCGATTGCTTATTTTATTATCGTTATTCCTGTTACTGCTGCGAATCTAATTAACACTCATCTCATCCTTCGATATTTTACTATATTCATGTCGTTTTATGTTTATTACGTAAACTTTGACCAAACAATTGATCTAATTTGTAATTATATCGAGAGTTAGACTGTTTTCTCTAGTTTTCATTTCAAGTTAGTCTTAATCTGAGGCTTGTGTTAATCCTGATTGTTGTCTATCGCTTTCCCTAAAGAATGTTATTACATTGTATGTGCTTGCTGAGTCGTCAGCTAACATTTTCTTCTATTTTTCAGCCCTTCTCATTCACGCTACTCTGAGCTCTCCCCAAGTTTACAAAGTACCTTCTAGATAGACGTGAACCTACTTACTAACGCTTTTTAGTATACATACTAGTTAAATAGATTGAATAAATGTTCAGAAAATAATGATTTAGAGACTAATATTAGTGTTGTATTTAGTACACAATCCGAATAACTTCATTTCAATTCTGTCCAAATTCACCAATGGAATCTTACATAACCGGACAGACGTTCACTTCTTTAAGTAAAACTTTCACTGAGAATAAACATAACATTCTTTCTTGCATAAGAAGTGAAGATAAGTTGTTACGATCGTGAGATGATGGGTGGAGGTGGTCTATAGGAAAGCCTGAATCTAGGTTTCGTGCTACATGGCACTCGTGAAAAAGAACATTTGTCCTAGTTCAACTAATCTTCTTATTTTTGAAGCTTTGTAGTTTTACATCACAAAGTAATTGCATTAAATCCAGATGCATTAGTTTGACCCTGTACACACCCTGCAAGATCTGAAGGTTTTGAGATCGATCCCTTATGGAGTCATGGATGTGAACCACTGAGGAGTCCTATGCAAAACATGAAAGCTGTGCAATGCTACCTGGTCTAATTAAGATTAATCCGTAATGTAAATATATGGAATTCAAAATTCCCCACAATCCTATATAGTGATAAAAGTAGTCATTAATTTGATTTAAGAATCATAATGGGAATATGATTCTCAACTTAGTTTGATTACTATTTCGACCAAAAATAGTCCATTTTTGCCTCTTAATTTGAGCTTAAAGGGACTTACTGTAGAGTTTATAAAGAAGTTTTGTCGTATCTCAGATTAATAATTTTAAATTATGCATCTAGTCACGTTAAAACAAGATATATCACATCAATAATGAGCCTTCAGTAGATCACTACAAGGATTTTATCAAACATATTGCATTGAAATCAACTAGGTAAATCAAGAAATCACATCATCACACCATTTCCAATCAAACACTGAAACAAAATATCCAATAAGAAGTTAAGAGTAAAGTTAAGAAGAGGACTCCTATTTCTCAGACATTTCTAGTACACGTACTTGAATAGTTCAGGAATTCATGAGACTAAATCAAGCAAGTCTCTCATATTGTTACTTTCATCATTTATTATCATGTTGTCCTTATATGAATGTGAAACTAAGAAAACTAGAAAAGAATTAGCTTTGATAAGTCTGATTAACATAAATAATAACATAAGTATCCTTTATAAGCAAAGATGGATAATGACTAGCAGTGGAATCCAGGACGCGCATTTTGTCCTATTTGGGACTCGTCAGCTGGATGTACTTCCATCTCAGAGTTGATGTTCACTATGTGATTCGAACCCAGTAACTGTCGCTTCAAACGTGCGCCCTGGATTCCACTGCTAGTCACTATCCATCTTTGCTTAGAATGCTTGTGAATTAAGGCTATATCGAGGCAATACGCACAGTATGCAAATATGGCCAATAAGAGACTGATCAGTTACAGTCCTAACACATTGATGGGAAGATTCAAACAAACAATACTAAGTGAATAAGAAATTTTTTTTTCGAATCACTGGTAGAAGTCATCCGTTATTGATAAGTTATTTTCATATCAGGGAAAATAATGATGGTTTACTATCATCGAAATTTCAATCAAAGACTGAATAAATGTGTCTAGTTTTATTTCATATGCCTAATTGATCTGTTAATGATAATTCTTTACTATTCAATGTATGGAAATCATCTACATCAATCTTTGTAACAAATTATCCATAGAATAAAATTTGACAAATGAAAAAGAAATAGGGGAAATTATAATTTACAGACGAACCAATCAGATTTAAGGTAACAAGTCTGAGATTTTAGTGCAGAAATTCATATACATATTTGGCTAAATACTATTTCGACATTATAGCTAATGTCAGTTCATGACGAAAAACCCTAAATCTAATTCCTAACCTTAACCATCAACTGAAAATCATAAATACAATTCTTTATACTACTTTATAATCCTCATTTAGTCTTAGTTAGTAGGTGAACATTTTCAAAGTCATTTTAGCGTTGCATAAAGGTCGTCCATAAATTACAGTCTCACCCAAATAAGATTATGAATATACAAATGAAAGGTGTTTGTCGATACACATATGCAACACATTGGTTTATATATAAATATATTTAACGAACTTACAAGGATATCGGGGTAGTTGAATTAGTTTTCTGACAGGAATCTGTTGAAGCTGAAGAAAATCATGAAAAATGTTCACTTAGAACTTTATAAAAATAATAATAATAACCATACAGTAACAAATACGTTGATATGGAACGTTCGAAATTTGTAAATCCTAATAATTTGACAGAATTATTCAACTTATTATTCATTCTAACTCACTATTCAAAACACTACCATGAGTCGTAATAAACATTGTTAGTGTCTATTTATATTCATGAAAGATTAGATTCAGGACTCAGTAGCTGAGTGGATAACACGATGGCGTTTGAAGCGAAAGGTACTGGGTTCGAGTCCCAGAGTGAATGTTGACTCTAAGATGCAGGTACATCCAGTTGATGAGTCCCGAATAGGACGAAATGCGCGTCCTGGATTCCACTGCTAGCCACTGTCCATCTTTGATTAGATTTAATTAATTCGGAAAATATCAAAATTTCTATCGTTCAAATTAGATTGACAATTATAAGCAAACATTTATTGTTTCCGATTAGATTTTCATCAAGATTTATGCTCATATTCATTAATATTTATTTATATTAATTTTAATAGTTGAGATCATGAATCAACTGAAGCTTAACTACCATGGAAAACCTGGAAGCACTGGACGGCCGTTTCATCCTATTGTGGGACTTCTAAGCAGTGCTCATCCACGATCCAACCTCGCGAGATTCGAACTCAGGATCTATCAGTCTCGCGCACGAGCGTTTAACCTATAGACCAATGAGTCGGCTGGTATGCAACGGTGTTAATGTATAACTTCAACCGATCCATGGAATCGATTGACATATCCACCATTGTCTTCAGTGAGTTACTATCTCACAATAGATCTGGTTGAACTCCACTGGTCACTGCTTCTCACCAGAACTCCAAAAATACCTCTTGAAGCCAGTCACTAGTGAACGTATGTTGAATAACATCAGAAGGGGTTTTTGTGAATATTATAGTAATTTCAATAGTTGAGACCATAAGTCAATTGAAGCTGGACCACCATGGAAAACCTGGAAGCACTGTACAGCTTCAATTAATTCATGATCTCAACTATTAAAATTACTATAATATCCACTAAAACCCCTTCTGATATTAATTTATATGTATGAAAGTTATTAAACTAATCAAGATAGTGAATGAGCCAATGATTACAATAAAATAGATTATATAACTGAATATAATATTTGAAAGTACACATTATTTACTGCCTAATTATTCGTACACTTTTTTTTGTCGTGTAACACACTTATTGTATACCTTTGTTGGTTCAACAATTGTTATACTGAAAAATAAAACCTAATAGAGACCCAATTACAAACAGTTTTCACAAGGGGGTTTTGTAGAGATTTTAGTAATTTTAATAGTTGAGACCATAAGTCAATTGAAGCTAGACCACCATGGAAAATCTGGAAGCACTGTGAGAAGTCGTGGCCAGTGGAGCTAATCCATGTCAGGTAGAGACAGATATCTACCTCAGTACGATGGAAGTTGCTCATGCAATTTCGTGGATTGGTTGAAGTTAGACATTAACACCATCGGATGCCGGCTCAGTGGTCTATCGGTTAAGTGTTCTAACGCGAAGCTGGTAGGTCCTGGGTTCGAATCCCGCGAGGCAGGGTCGTGAATGCGCACTACTGAGGAGTCCCACAATAGAACGGAACGGCTGTCCAGTGCTTCCAGGTTTTCCATAGTGGTCTAGCTTCAAATGACTCATGATCATAACTATACAAACAGTTTTGTTCACTTCTTATGTTTTTTTTAAAATAAAATTTAATGCACGGGAACGCAAGTGAGAACAATCGAATGTATTTGAATATAAAATGATAGAATATCTTAATGAAATCTGAGAACCATACAGTAAACAATTCATTTGCAAAATGTCAATCAATCGTCTAAGATTTGATTGTCCTTTCGTTTCAACATCAATCATACTTTGTTGTTGTCCTCTTTTCTTCGATCATCTTAACCTTCCGCCTCCATGCATTTCAATTTCGATTGATGATACATACTATTTATATCTGTCAACATCAGTATCACACACCACAGTAAAAAAAAAACAGTATTGACTAACAGCCTGAACGTGCCTAATTGAAGTGCAGTGATATAAAACTATATAACATTTGTCACTTTTTTTAATACAACTATATAGCAAACTTCAAAAAATCACGTTCTATCCCCTGAACTAGGGGTTGAAACAATGAAATTCTATTAATTAACCCCAAAACTGTAATCCGAAATTAGTCTATCGAATAGTTATCAGAATTACTTTTACTGATCATGTTCAGAGTTTATTTAGGAGTTGAGTTCTGAAAAGACTTCTAATAAGAGATTTTTGTTCATAACTATTAGGTAACTTTCGTTACGTTCCTGTAAGTTGTATTACGGAGTTTTTTATACGGTATTGGAAGCACCTGGTGTTATTAAGTTCACTAAAGCAGACAGTTTAATTGGGGAATTTTCATTTTCGTACTGGACAACACGATCAGAGTTTACTTCATGTAGAAGTGATATTCTTAGTTACATTACAAGCCATAAATAAGTTTCTTCTATCGCCTTTGTTTATGGTTGATTATCGTCATATATTTCAGTGTTTTCATTTGTTTTGTATTCAAGTTGACTACGTTGTCCCATTGTGCTCTGAGCAAGTTGCTGATTGATATTTTACGAATAAATAATACTATCGAAAAAGACAATGAAATCCCTGCAATTGAACTATCTAGATAAGAATACTTAATAGCACCATAGGCAGCCATCTAAAATGCAAATTTCCATCATTTTAAAGTCATCTAACCATAATATTCTGAAATCATTCGTTTAATTAATCAACAAAACATTATAAGCACCTAAAAAAGTAAAGAAACAAACTGTGAATGACATTTGAGATGGTGGGGAAGATTTGTAGCTCAGGTGGATGATTTTGATGGAGTTTTGTTCTCTGAACTGGATAATTTGGTTATGGAGCTTTCATCGTCTTTCTGAAGGACATCATTAGCACAAATGTCGGAAGAAATTCAAACACTTCACTTCTACCCGAAATTTGTGCTGATGATGTTGTTCAGAAGGACAATGAAAGCTTCACGACCAAACCATCAAGCTCAGAGAATAAAACTCTTTTTTAATTAGTGCTCAGTAAAAGTAAAATATGCTTGACCAGTAACTGTATATATGACTAAATATTATAACAAATTAATTAAATTAAGATTAAAATTAATAAATGAAAAAATAAATAAAAATTTACTTATAGATTGATTAAATGCTTCATTTAATGCCGTATTAGCAGCAACAGCCAAATTGAGCGCATCAGTATAAGATGTTGATGAGACAACTTTTTTCAATGGATTATTTCTTTCATTTATTGATCTTGAATTATTATTATCTAAATGTTGTTCAACTAAATGATAAACAAATGGAATTCAATAAATGTAATTAGAATATTACTAATGAAATAAATAAGCAAAGATGGATAGTGGCTAGAAGTGAAATCCAGGATGCGCGTTTCATCCTATTTGGGACTCGTCAAAGTTGACGTTCATTCTGGAACTCGAACCCAGTACCGTTTGCTTCAAACGCCATCACGTTATCCACTCACCTACTGAGTTCTGATAGCCACTTTTTTTGTGCAACGGGTCGAAATTTGAATTCACTTGGTATTGTCTGTTTCAATCTTCCCATTGATTTTTAGGACTGCGATTGATCACTCTCTTATTGGCTTATGTGCAGATACATCCAGCTGACGAGTCTCAAATAAGAGGAAACGCGCGTCCTGGATTTCATTACCAGCTACTATCCATCTTTTCTCATAATGCTTGTGAATGAATGTAATATCAAGGCAATACGCAAAGTATGCACACATGAACCAATAAGAGACTGATCAGTTGCAGTTCTAAACATCAATGGGAAGATTCAAACAAACAATATTAAGTGTTTAAAGTAATATATGATGATAGTTTGTTCATAGTGAAATTTAATATTTTTATATATTTAGAAAAACAGGTAACAGGTATTTGTTTCTCATCAATGAATCAATAGTATTGGTCAGTTTCTTTATCTTAGAAATAGTTTCGGTCATCTTTTCAAATGATCTACTGTCAACTATGGTATTAGTTAATTGAACATTTTAAAAATGAATTTTAGTAAAAATAATGGTTTTATTTAAATGGAAATTATTTAAATGGATAAAAAAAATAACCCATTATCCCTTTAAAAAACATATCAATGAATATGACCTCAATTAATGAAATGGTTAATTAGCAACCATGACAAGATAACAACTGTCTTCGAAAAAGTAGTATGCATTTAAAATGTTTTGATTCGATGTAATATATATATGGGAAAAATCGATGAACTTCAAACAACGATAAAAGAGTAGCGAAATTCTGGAGTTGATTTCAGTTACTCTTACAACTCGTCAGGGAGAATAGGTCGCTCATCAGCATTCTCTATGCATCACTGTTCTACACAATCCTTTATTGTTACTTCCAGTTGCTGTTCATCCTTTTCATATATGCTTCGAATTCTCGACACAGTGTTGTTTTGTCTGTACTCTTTTCTGCTTCCATTCAGGATTCCAAGTTAGATATTGCCATGAGATGCTGTTTTATGATTTCCTTAATGTATGTCTTGTCCGCTTCCAACGTCTTTTCCTAATTTCCTCTTCAGCTGGGAGTTGGTTTATTTTCTCCCACAGTAGGCAATTGATGATGGCATCCGGTCAACGGTTATTGAGTAACTTGCCTAGATAGTTATGTATAAATACTTGCACCTTTTTTATGATGGTCATATTAGTTCTCCACGTTTCAGATCCGTACAGTAGGATTCTCACTTTGATATTGGTTGACAGTTGTTTTGATTTCCATATGTTCTTCACTTGTAGGAATGTTGTTCTTGCTTTGCGAATCCTCGCCTTTAGTGTAGGCTATAGTACTTTTAAACTAATAGAATCAAGTTGATAAATGTCATGTTGAAATTAGTCACTGAATATTCTTTCATATCACATTCTAATCTATGGGTAAGTGCGTTGTGTTATAAAGTCATATCATGTAAATTTAGGCCAAGGTTGAATTTTAGATTAAAGATTTTAACTATTCAATTGAATTATTGTGTACGTTATCAAATTATACAAGTGAGTATATTGGCAAGCTGAGGGACTTTTTCGATACACACTTCTACTTAAAGAGCCGTCACTTCGCCTGCTTAGTGTGACGTCAAGGAAACAGTAAGGATAAACTACTAGAACTATTCAACAGTGTACATCCAGCGGTTAGTTTCAATGGTGAAGAAGGGTGTTTTCAAATTGTAAAATCATGGGATCCTAATTTTGTGATCGTAAATAGCCTTATTAGCATAGTCATTATATGTAAAAATTATATTTGAAATAATCTCAGTGATTGAAAGTTTATATAATTCCAGTATTTCGTCCAGCTAACTTGTCTGAACTTCTTCAGGGTAATAATGAAAAACAAAATCATCAAAGAAATATGTAGTGTTTCTTAACAATCATATCAAAATCAGAAGGGGTTTTGTGGAGATTTCAGTATTTTCATAGTTGAAAGCATGAGTCAATTAAAGCTAGACCACATTGGAAAACCTGGAAGCACTGGATGGCCGTTTCGTCCTACTGTGCTCTGGCGCGAGACCGGTAGGTTCTGGGTCCGAATCTCGCGAGGCGAGATCGTGGATGCGCACTGTTGAGGAGCCCCACGATAGGACGAAACGGCCGTCCAGTGCTTCCAGGTTTTCCATGGTGGTCTAGCTTGACTCATGCTTTCAACTGTGAAAATCATATCAAAATCTATGCAACCTTAAGACAATCATATTTTGATGTTGAGTTTTTGTAATCAGGATATTATTAGCCAGTTTAATAAGAATCAAGTGAAAAGTTCACAATGTGAAATAAAAGGTGACTGGACGAATTGTGTGTATGTATGTGTAAGACAGTTATTAATGAATGATATTCGATGTTGACATGTTTCTATATGAAGTAAAAATAAAAGTGCAAAGTGAAGGTTGATAAAAAGTATTTCTGAATCATTGAATTGCACTATAAGGTCGGCATTAGTTAAGGATAGGTTACCAAAGGAAGAATAACAAAATGTTGTCTATGAGATCAATTATCATGATTGTAGGTTAATTCGTCTCATGTCTGTCTCCATTTCTAGGCACAATGTCTTCTTGGTATTCCACTTCTCATTTGGCTTTCAGTATTCCAAGCGAGGGCTTGCCTTGTGACACAGTTGGGTGCTTTCCTCAATGTGTGTCCTATCCACTTCCAGCACTTCTTCCTGATTTCTTCCTTCGCTGGATAGAATCTGGTTTGTTCTCTCCCACACTAGCTTGTTGCTGATAGTGTCTGGTCAAACGGAACTGAAGTATTTTGCGTAGACAACTGATAATAAACACGTGTATCTTCTGGATGATATCTTCCATAGTTAACCACGTTTCCACCACATACACTAGGACTGTTTTCACATTCGTATTGAAAATTCTGATCTTGGTTTTGGTTGACAGATAGTTGTTTTTAGTTCTAGATGTTCTTGAATTGTAGATATACTTCTCTTGCTTTGCTGATCCACGCCGTCACATCTGCATCAGATTCACTGTGTTCATCAATGATGCTGTCCATATATGTATAGGTTTTTACATCCTCAAAAGCTTTTCCATCAATTGTGGTTCGATTGGTGCATGTTGTATTGTATCGGAGAACATTTCATTTCTCTTTGTGTATATTGAGACCTTCTGCTGTTGAGGTTAATGCTACATTGGTCGTCTTCTCCTGCATTTGTTGTTGCGTGTGTGATAGAAGAGCCAGATCATCTGCGAAGTCTAGGTTGTCCAGCTGGATTCTAGCTGTCCACAGCATCCAGTGCTTCTCCCTAGATGTTGACATCCTCATAATCCAGTCGGTCACTAGGAGAAAGAGAAAGGGTAAGGGTAAGCAATCTTTCCTGACATTGTTCTTTACCTCGAACGAGTCGGTGAGTTGTCCTTCATGAACGATTTTACAGTTTAATCCATCATAGGAATTCCGTATGATATTGACTATCTTCTCAGGCACGCCGTAGTGTCGAAGAATCCTCCATAGTGTCGTCCTTTCCACGCTATCAAATGCTTTCTCAAAGTCAATGAAGTTGATGTAAAGTAATGAATTCATTCAATTAATTGTTCCACAATGATCCTTAGAGTTGCTCTTTGGTCTGTACATGATCGATCCCCCTATTTAACTATTAAACATATATTAAATATACTATATTTCGATTATTATTATTATTATTATTATTATTATTATTATTATTATTTATCTTTGATTTGCACAGTAGGTGAGTTAATTGTAGACAGTGTAAGTCAAAGTATTTTATTTTAATCCATCTGTGAAGATTTCCCACTGTGAGATGATCATATATTTTTTTTATTATTCATTACCTAGTCTACTTTTCAAAAACCTCTTTAACCTTTTTTCTGTCTTCTTCATAATTGTTTATACATAATAATCTGAATGAATGAACAACTGATCTTTTTCTTAAGAAAAAAGTGCGGATTTTTCGTGAATTTTTTCCATATATATGGTCTTGATTCTATAGTGTGGTTAAGCAAAGGTGTAGTCAAAACAATTAACAACTCCATTTTATCATAGTTGAAAGCGCGAGTCAATTGAAGCTAGACCACCATGGAAAACCTGGAGACACTGGACGGCCGTTTCGTCCTATTATGGGACTCCTCAGCAGTGCGCATCCACGAACCTGCTCTCGCGAGCGAGATTCGAACCCAGGACCTACCAGTCTCGAGCCGAAGCTCTTAACCGATAGACCACTGAGCTGGCATCCAACGGTGTTAATGTCTAACTTCAACTGATCCACGAAGTTGAGCAACCATTCACCAATTGTCTTCAACTATGATAAATACTAAATCTCCACAAAACCCCTTCTATAACTCCATTTTTAGCCCATTTAGTTCAAACGGGACATAGAGCCAATATGAAGCAATCTTACACAATAATATATCGTATTAATAACAGTCTATCTAATTATGTCAGACTGAGACTACTGCAGATGGCTGAGGTAATTGCTAATCGGATCAAAAAGCCAAAGCTTTGTATCCAAAAGAAATATGTTCAGCCGCTCCTTTTACTCTGGCCAACTATAGGGTCAACTTGTTAATAATCAATTTTATAATATGGTGACATTAATTTGATTAATGTCCTTAACTTATTTTATCTACACATCTTACCACTGTCATTATTATTATTATCACACTTGCGAACCTTTTAGACAAATTCATTCAGCATCCAGCCCTATCTACTATATCTGACCTAATTCATATTATTCTACATATTACGTAATTTCTGAGTTGTAATCCCATTGTTCTCTATTTCACCCCCATGTCAACTATATTTATTTTGATCATTTATCTTACGATTTCATTTCACTTATAAACTGATTCAAGTTAACATTACATATTAGTCAGCTCCAACATTAACGATTCGATTTTAGATCAGAAGAGGTTTTTGTGGATATTTCAATATTTTCATAGTTGAAATCATGAGTCATTTGAAGCTAGACCACCATGGAAAACCTGGATGCACTGGACGGCCGTTTCATCCTATCATGGGACTCCTCAGCAGTTCGCATCAACGATTCGATTTTATTTTCATATCACAAACACTCCTTGATTCATATTGTTACAGTTTCCTTAAATGATGTACTCTGCCTTAAACTTGATCAATCTTTTCTTATGGATTATTAATTTGGATAATGGATAATTGTAGAACCTGATGAGAAATTATTGAAATAATATTCTTCGTTCATAGAATTGTATTTTAATATGATGGGAATTTTACAGCGATTATCTTTTTCCACTGAATGAATGTGATATTATAATAAGCATATGATTCAGAGAGGAGATAAATCTCGTTTTAACGATTCTCATGCTTCTTATATCTGTATAAGCTAGTAACCATGGAGATAGTTTACAGTAATGATTGATCGAATATGGTAAAAAGCACACAAAAAAAAGAAAAAGATGCATATGACTTTTCTACTTCCATAGTTAATGACATTTTTCTAAACAGTCTGTACTTTGCTTTTTTTGTCTTTTTGTATAAGTTCGTTTCTATCTTATATGTATTCATTATTGATTTGGGAATCAAAATGTACTGCGATTTGTTTTTTTTTTGTATAGTTTAATGCACTGATACAATTTATAAACATACATATTATCATGGTAACTATTATAAAAGATTCATTTAAGTAAGTACGAATGATTCCATTTCATCCGCATAGTAACACTGTCATATTCTGTTTACTAATAAGGTCATTAACTGTTATTTGATTACATCCTACTGGTAAATTATGTAAACATTGTTGTATGTTAAGTGTATGTAAAGAGGTGAAATCAGTTATTCATCAAAATTACTTTCTTCTGTCTCCCTCTCCCTGTATATATAAATGTATATAACGAGATAGATTGTCTACATAATTATAGTTGGTCATTACACTTATCCATTTAGCAAAATGTGATATTTTAAACGATGAACATTTAGTATTTTCATGGTCGAAAGCATTAGTCAATTGAAGCTAGACCACCAAGGAAAACCTGGAAACACTGAACGGCCGTTTCGTTCTATTGTGGGACTCCTCAACAGTGCGCATCCACAGTCACGGCTCGCGAGATTCGAACCCAGGACCTATCAGTTTCGCACCCGAGCGCTCAAACTCTAAACCACCGAACAGGCTGAGGAGTCCTACTACAGGACGAAACGGCCGTCCAGTGTTTCCAGGTTTTCCATCGTGGTCTAGCTTCAATTGACTCATGAATTCAACCACAAAAATACAATTATTTTAAGTTGAAAATTTTAGATCTACCATCATTATGACTGATACATAACCATGTTAGCCTGAAAATCTCCAAATTCACCTTATGACTGAAAGTAATTTCATAGTCATCTACCATATATATATATATATATATATATATATATATATATATATATATATATATATATATATATATAGCACTACTCAAACACAAAAAAGAACAATAAACATCTCAGTATAAAGAATACCTGAGTTATTCATTAGCTTGTGATCATCTTGTTTCGATCGGACAGATTCTGTTCTATCCAATTCATATGTTTTACGTCTTAATTTTGGAGTGAGAAAATTTCGAAATGATTTAATTGTTGAATTCTTATATTTATTCATAGATGAATTCATATTGGATAATGGAATATTTGGTTCATATGAATGATGAATTGATCCTTGAATATTGGGTGTTAAATTCACTGGGTTACTGGATGGATAATAATAATGATTGGGTATATTTGTAAAATTTTCTATTTGTTGACCAGGTTGTAAAACACCAGCATTACTAGTAAATAATAATGGAGTAAAGTAAAATGTCAACTATGATTTATAATAAAAATCTACATTAAATTGAAGATTACTAACTTTATTGATATAGATATAATTGAAATATATGTAAAGATAAATGAAGCTTAACCATGATGTAAAACCGTGGAAGCCCTAGACGACCGTTTCGTCTTATTGTGGGACTTCTCTGCAGCGTACATCCACTATCCCGCCTCACGAGATTCCAACACAGGACCTATCAGTTTTGCGCGCGCGAGTTTAACCACTAAAACACTTAGCCGGCATCCAACGGTGTTAATGTCTATCTTCAACTAATTCCCGAAATTGCGCCACCATCCACCATTGTCTTCAATGAGTAACTATCTCACAACAGACGTGGTTTGAACTCCACTAGTCACTGCTTCTCACTAGAAATTTAGGAAACGTCCATCCAGTACTTTCAGGTTTTCCATGGTGGTCTAGCTTCAACTGACTCATTATTTCAACTATATAAAATTACTGAAATCTCCACAAAACCCCCTTCTAATAAAGATAACTGTTATTGTTTTCAGAAAAGAGTTTTTGTGTTGATCGTAGTAATTTACCAGTTGGATTCATGAATTAATTAAAGCTAAGGCCACTGTGGAAAACTTGGAAGCACTGGACAGACGTTTAATCTAACTCTTTTTAATTAAAAGACAAATCGACAGAAGAATAACTTATGAACTAATAGTTTTTGAAATTAAACATTTTAACAAACGTTACTGTGAAGGGCAAATAATTGGCATTAGCTGTTACTATAGAAAATGCTATTCTACTTACTTACTAGTTTATTATGATTAGCAGATTTAAACATGGAATAATTAGTATACTGTTTTTACTGATGACATAATATCAATGTACTGTTTGACTGAATGTAAATACGATATATTCTTCGTGGATTAGTTGAAGTTAGACATTAACATCGTTCGATGCTGGGTCACTGATCTAAAGTTTAAGCATACACATGCAAGACCAAAGGTCCTATGGGACTGTGGCATGCACTGCTAAAGAGACCCATACTAGGACGAGACGGATGTCCAGTGCTTCTAGGTTTACCATGATGGTCTAGCTTCAATTGACTCATGAATTCAACTTTTAAGAAAGAATAAGTTATCTATAGTAGATTTATTTTAGACGTTATAAGAGAAATCACTTCAATATAAAAGTAAGAAGTAATAAGTTTAAGTAATTCTTCCAAATTTAATCAACCACAAAGCCAATATACATTTCGACAAATCAACAACTCTCAATGCTGCTAACATGTCACACAATAAAAACAATGAGAAGATTGATCAGAGAAAATTGTATATTATGTTCTATTAATAAATGATCCTTGTATTCGTACTCGCTTACATGTGTTGTTCTCATTTTCACAATGGGAATCTTTAATATTAGAAAATGATTTCACTGGTTAGCACCAGCAAAACGTCTCATATTGGGACGAAACAACTATTCAGAACTCAGTCTTTTCGTCAATTATATAATGATATTAACCTATATTTAAACAAATCAAATTTATTATCAGAAGGGGTTTTGTGAAGATTTTGTACTTTCATAGTTGAAAGCATGAGTTAATTGAAGCTACACCGTCATGGAAAACCTGGAAGCACTGAACGGCCGTTTCGTCCTATTGTAGGACTCCTCAGCAGTGCGCATCCACGATCCCACACCCACGATATTCGAACCCAGGACCTACCAGCTTCGCTCCAAGTTCGAATCTCGTGGGTGTGGGATCGTGGATGCGCACTGCTGAGGAGTCCTACAATAGAATGAAACGGCCGTCCAGTGCTTCCAGGTTTTCCATGATGGTCTAGTTTCAATTGACTCACGCTTTCAAATACGAAAATCAAATTTACGCAATATTACACTTTAATACTCACCCTGAATTCGATCGTTGTCGTGAACATTGTAATTTAGGTATAGGTGCTTTAATCCTTATTGCTTGATATTTTGAATTGATCTGTTGTGAGTCCTCTGGTCGAATATTATTATCATATTGATAAGTTTGATCATTTGCTACTCCACTAGGATTGATTACAACTTTGGATGGTACAGTATGATTTGTTGGCTGATAGCACTGCGAATATTTAAGTGAGGTAGAAGATTCTCTTTATATAAAACAATTTAATTGAAAAATGTTAACAAGTCAAATTTCATTGAAATCCTCATCATTGTTTAAATTAACACTTCGTTTACTATATCTATGTGCTTTTGTTATGGATGATTGAAATATTAATGAGTATGAGATGGTGGTTAGAGGTGGTCAACAGGAAACCCTGGACCTGGGTTTCGTGCTACTTGGCACTCGTCAGCAAGGTGTACCTGTAATCTTGAGGGAACTGGTGTTCCCTGACGGATTCGAGCCACCCAGACTAGTGGCCACATTGCAACTTGATCGATAGCATTCGATCAACACTAAGAAGGACTTGACACGCATGACATTGATCACCACCCAGTGATCAATCAATTGTTATTAATGAGTATATCTATGTACTCTCTCAATAAGTGTCTCCCAATTGAAAAATGTATGTACATTTTCTATATCCAGAGAACGTTAGTTTACTTCATTGAGAAACTATGTTACCCTACATGATACGATGTTAAAGTAGGACATATGTTTACTTCTTTCTCCATAAATTATTGATAAAAATTATTGAATGAAAATAAAAATAATAGCTTTACATTGCTTAAGCTTTCTGGGTTAGAATAGTTAGATACAAAGATCAAAGACAAAAATTTAATAATGGTTCGAATCGTATAACCATTAATAATAACGACTCAGTAGCTGAGTGGATAACGTGATGGCGTTTGAAATGAAGAGTACTGGGTTCGAGGCTTGGAGTGAACATCAACTCTGAGATGCAGGTACAACTAGCTGACGAGTACCAAATAGGATGAAACGCGTGTACTCTATTTCACTGCTAGCCACTATCCATTTTTGCTTATAATATTTGTGAAAGTAACAGATACTTGATATTAGGAGATTTTAATGCATCTGATGTTCTACGTTTAATATTTTATCTAGTTCAAATAATCTTATTTACAAAAAGTGAATTCATCAATGATAACTAGCATAGTTAAATTATACACACAACTTTCATGATATGGATTTATTCGATAAACATATACTGTTTCATGGTATTTTCGAAGCCCTTCAAAATACTATAGTATAAATATATATTGAAAATTACCATTTTGACGTTTGGTAAATAAAGAAGGAATGAATCGAGCAGAGAAATTTCTTTTGAATTAGTTTTTCATCATGGCTTTACACTAATATATATATCGTATATATATACGATTCGAACCCAGGACCTGTCGGTCTCGTACGCGAACGCTTAACCTCTAGACCACTAAGCAGACATGTAATGGTGATAATGTCCATTGTCTTCAGTGAGTTGATATCTCACAACAGACCCAGTTGAACTCTACAGATCATTGCTTTTCACTAGAACTCCAGAAAAATACCTTTTGAAGATTTCTCAAAAGAATCTCAAACTAGACAACAAAGCAAAGTGATCATATTATTTTGGACTACATAAATCTCGATTGGTAGTCAACTGAAACTCTATACAATTGAAATCCTGAACTTGAAAATGCCATATCAACGTAACATTGTTTCCTCCTCCTCCTCCTCCTCCAAAAAAAAAAAACAAACATAAATCTATTCGACTAGGAATCATACCTAATCATGTCCTCTTTTCTTTATTAGGGAAATGTTATACATATATTGATCAGATATATGATTCTTTTGTAAAACACAAAAAAAAGAAAAATTTAACATTTCATAAAGCAGTTCAATGACAAATGGTTTAGATATAATAGTAATGATAATAAGTAGTATAGTTGAACATATGTTAAAAATAATTGTGGACGTTTTTTCTTATTACGAATGAACACAAACTGTATTCTAGTCTTTGAAATTACCATGTTACATAAGGTTATCAACTATTTGATTATTTACAAGTGAAAAGAAATGGAATATATTGAAGAGATTGAAACATATATTAACTAACTTGTTGTTAGTGGTTACTATTGTAATACAACTCTATGATGTCAATGTTAAGTATCATGAAGATAACTGGTAGAAAACTCAGATCATTGTCTTTGAGCTAATCATTAGTTACAGTAAGATATATCTAATATTTTTATGAGAATCATAATCTGTCTAGTTTCGGGCATTCATCATTCAATTCCATACCTCAAGACATTATATCTGAGCTTTATAAGCAATCGTAAGCAAAAAAGATGGATAGTGTCTAGCAATGGAATCCAGGATGCGCGTTTTATCCTATATGGGACTCGTCAACTGGATTTACCTGCATTTCAGAGTTGATGTTCACTCTGCAACTCGAATCGACTACCTTTCATTTCAAACGCCATCACGTTATCTACTCAACTACTGAGTTCTGATAGCCATTTATCTTTCTAAGGGTTTTTAAAATATTTACACTAATCAATCACAGAGTAATTCCAAGCTCTAATATCTTCTAATCAATAATATTAACCAAATTTAAGTGACCATTATACAATATGACTGTTAGTTTAAATCATTCAATGTAAAAGTGTAATACATTGGTTGTTAAATAATTGAAAGTAATCAGTGTTGGCATTAAATTATATGAGTTTGTACAGTAACCAATAAAACTAATTATGAATATTAAAGAACTTATGGGAATGTGTACTGTATAGTTTTTAATATCAACTTTAATGTAATAATCGTTACATAATCAATAGAAAACAGATACATTATTCAAAAATGAACAATATTTGAATGAATAATTGTTTTCAATAACTTCATCATCAGGCTCCACAGTTACAACTCCATAATCATTATGATATTTTACAAAGTTCAAAATGAGGCATGTATTAATTAATTTGACAATGTTATATGTTAAAAAATAATCAAGATTAGTTTTCACTTCTGTGAGTTTCGCACTATACTTCAGGAACTCATTGAGTCCCTTCAGTGTTGTTCATTTTTGAATTATCTATGGGGATTTTTAAACTACTAAAATCCAATGAGCACCCAGTTGAACTGAAGGGACTCAATGAATTCTTGAAGTATAGTGCGAAACTCACAGAAGTGAAAACTAATCTTGAAGTTATATTCTATGGGGATCTTTAAACTACTAAGATACATTATTCTAAGTAATTACAAAATCATTTTTGTATTTTAACTAGTTTTAAATATAAATAATGTCGCATAGTTTCAGTTGACTTATGATTTAAGCTACATAAAATTACTAAAATCTTCATAAAAAACCGCCTTCTGAAAATATCATATATATCTTGTCATTTAATACGAATTCGAATCCAAGATTATTAAGTTTATAATAAGATAATTTTTCAAAGTTGAAATCATGAGTTAATTGAAGCTAGACCACTATCAAAAATCTGGAAGCACTGGACGGCTGTTTCGTCCTATTATGGGACTCCTCAACAGTGGTGGTCTAGCTTCAATTGACTAATGATTTCAAATTTGAAAAAATTACTGAAATCTCCACAAATCCTCTTCTGTTTATAATAAGAACTTTTAGTATATTTAAATCATAATTTACATAATAAAAACAATGAAAGAATGATTATGGAACAGAATTTCAGATTACTAAGCATTCTTATTGAAACTTAAATGTTTTAATAATAGTCTTATGATTAGTACTGTTTAAATGATGAAAAATCACTAAGGAAATATTATAAAATCAATTTCACTTGGTATTTTTAGTTTGCAATCCTAAAAATCAATGGGAAGATTCAAACAAACAATACTAAGTGAATTCAAACTTCACACCATTGCACAAGCAAGTGACTATGAGGACTCATTGGTCGAGTAGATAACGTGATGGCGTTTGAAGCGAACGGTACTGGGTTGCAGTCCCACAGTGAACATCAATTCTGAGGTACAGGTACACCCAGTTGACCAGTTCCAAATAGGATGAAACGCGCATCCTGAATTCCACTGCTAGCCACTGATCATCTTTGATTATAAAATCAAGTTTATTCAATCTGTTTCAATATAGCTTTACATAAATTGTATTTACAATAATACATGGTTACAATAAATCAATAATAAAATTGCAAGTTGATAGAATGATTTTTTGTTATGTCTGTTGTCATAGTTAAGAAAATAAAAGCTATCCATTGAAATATCAAGTCTCATTTAGTTACTGAGTTAAAACAAGTAGTTCTTTTTTTAAGTTATCTTTATAGAACTTACCTCTATGCTTTCAAAATTAGCCTTCAATGTGTTATCTGAAGAATCGGCTTACATTGACTCACAATACGTCACAGATCTTATTTTTTTACTAATTGGAATATAACAAGAGTATAATTAACTTAAATTAGGTTAGAAAGTAGTGATCTTATCAAGTATGATTAGTGAAAATTCTCCTCAAAATACACACACATATATGAACCAGTTGAGAGATTCATTTTTATTTTCAAGGTATAAATCTCCGTCAATTAACAACGAATTGAGTTTACATTTTTTGGGTGATACTTTAAAGAATAATGGAAAAGATTTGTGACTCAGGTGGATGATTTTGATGAAGTTTTGTTTTCTCAGCTGGATGGTTTGGTCGTGGAGGTTTCATCGTCCTTCTGAACGACACCAGGTAGAAGTTTGTGCTCATCATGTCGTTCTGAAGGAAGATGAAATATCCACGACTAAACCATCCAGCTCAGAGAACAAAACTCCATCAAAATCTTAAAGGATGTAATGTAGCATACCAATATCTTTCATAGGGTTCCTGATGTGTGGGCGAGAATGATAATGAATGGTTTTCTGCTTAGTCAGATTTGTAGATAGTCTGACAGGTGTCAGATGATTTATATATTCCCCTATCCTTATCTTTAATATTATTGATTGATTGTTCTTTTGTCGTTGGATTGTGTCAGGTGTGGAAATATATTTACGTTCTGGTCAGGCTAATCACGTGTTCTTGATCTGAGTTATGTTGAAGTCCTGTATAGTAGACACAGGGAGAAAATCTAGTGTAGATATTCGTCTAAGGCAAATTAACATCTCATTCGTGTAAACAAAGAAAACGGAACCGTTATAACATTACCCAATATCAATACTCATTTAGGTTTCTAACAATTAACCACTTATAGGATGATTGGTACTAAATCTGAATGAAGAGTTTTAATAAAAAAGATAACTAAGTCATGTTACGTTTCCTTTTAAATCTCTCAAACAATATAAAATGGATTAGAGTTCTGAAGTTTATGATATCATCGGGAAATGATTTTTATTACGGTTTAACACTAATAATTTATTAAAAGCACTGAACAATTATTTCAATTCTGTTTTGAAACTCCTAAGCAGTATAAATTATACTGGGTCAAATCAAGAACCTTGTGCTAAAGTTGTATCCATGATATATATTTAAGTCATAGTGTAGGATGGTCTACTTATATCCATATAAGTAGTACATGGTGATGGTCAGACATGGAATATATTTTGGCGGAAGATCGATAAGGAAAGAACTGAAATGGAGTGCAATTGGTAGGAATATGCGTGAAAAAAATGGAATTAGAGAAGATGAACTGATGTTTGCAGAAGGAACAGTGAAGATTGAGACAATTGATTGTTATTTTGCAAATTAACTGTTTGCTGTATGGTTATCAGAATTTAGTGCAATAGTCTGTAATTGGTACTTTAATGCATTCGATTGTCCCCAATTAGTGTTTGTTCCCTACAATAGGAACTAGGTGAATTCCTTTTAGGACTATGATCATAGACTAATGAAGTGTTTCAGACTAACCCAATACAATTGTCCACTGTGTTCTACTTTGAAATGATAATATTTTAAAGTGAAAACAAGAAATTATTGCAAATCTATCCAATATAATAAGTTTTCTAAAGCATGATACCAGTCAATTAAGATCACTTTATTTTTCAAACAGTCAATTTATTCCAATTTGTGTGTAAGTGAATGCCTCTAATTGTTAAAACATGAACTGATTAAGTTTACCATTGCAGTTTTTAATTTGATATTAAACAGTTTTAGACTAAACTACATAGTATTACTGAAGTTTACTCGACTGTCTTAAATGTATGATAATTCCTTATTTAGTTGAATTCATGTGTCGATGTAAGCTAGACCATCATTGGAAACTTGGAAGCACTGAATAGCTGTTTTGTCCCAGTATGGGACTTCTCAACAGTGGGTGTCCATGATGTTATTATTAAAAAAAATAAAAGCTATCCACTGTAGCATTAATTTACAATTAGTTACTGCGTCAATACAACTTGATTTTCCAAGTTATCTCTATAGAAATTGTTATATCCCGATGAAAATAACGAAGGGTAACTGTTGAAATCTATTTCTGGACTAGTACTATACATATATTTTTATTGTATAATTGTTAAGTAACTAAACTATTCATATTCATGCTCTTCTTAATATGAGGTTTATTTTGACCCACATACTATTATTATACGATTAACAATTCTTGAGTTATCCCCAGTCTATTAATTACTGTTCCCCCTATTCACAGCTACATTTGGTCAAATCTTGTACAAATATTATTTTCTATTTTATGGTACCATGTGGTCAGTTTGACTGGTATATAAACCCAATATGTTTCAGAATAATGATTCATATTGTAGAAGCTGTAATTGGTGTTGTGGACTTAACTAGCTGGGCTAGACAGAAAGCAGGACTGATAAATACTCAAGACTGCTCATACGGTTTTTGTGTATCACTGGGCGATCAATAAATTCACTACTCTCTAATTAACGGTCTTATAACGTCATATATATATATATATATATATATATCAAACAGGGCACGCAAGCACTCAATCGATATAATAGAAATTGCTCTGTCCCATACTAGGATGAAACGGCTTTCCATGACTTCGAAGTTTTCAATGGTGGTCTAGCTTACATTGACTTATGAATTCAACTATTAAAATTACTACAATTTACACAAACCTCATTTCTGATCATAATTTCTTATTTGTCTAGACATAATTAAGGTTATATAAACAATATTTATAAACAAAAACATGTCATTCAATTGCAATTACTTCTAACTTATTTTCTTTGTCTATTTATTTATATGATGCTGTGGGTGATTTAAATGTATGAATTCTATGGAAGCCGATGAATATTAAGTATGTCTGATAGCAAAATAGTACTCTCTTCAATCTATGTTAGAAATAGGTCCATTAGTTAACAATGCAGGTTACAGCTTTCTACCAAAATTCTAAGAATCGATTTCTTAAATGTATCCGACTATAAACACAATTTTAGTCTTAATAATCATATGGCTATTAGTGATTTGTTTCAAGTCGTGATTCCTCAAGTTCTAGTAAAGAGTTGTACCCAGTAAAGTTCAAACTTGTGGGGGTTGAGAAATTTATCCATGAAATGTAGTAAAAGATGGTTGCACAATATCGTGAACTGATTAAAACTAGCCATATGCATTACTGGATTTCAGGTTAGTGGTATGGATTTTGAGCGTTCTAGCTGAAGTTCGGAAGTCCTAAGCAAAGTTCCCAGTGTGCTCGTGGACGCATACTATTTAGGCGTCCCATATTGGGATGAAATAACTATTCAGTGCTTCGAAATTTCCAGTAGTGGTCTAACAAAGATCAATTCAAGATTTAAATCAAATAAATTCTACAACTTCCATAAACCTTCAATATGAGTAAGATGGTGGTTGGAGGTGGTCAATAGGAAACCCTGAACCCGGGTTTCGTTCTACTTGGCACTCGTCACCTTCTATATTAGTTTATTTATTTAGAGATATGACATATCCCGTTGTCTTGGTAAAGCACATCAGAAATTAAATTTTCTTAATCCTATTATGGGACTCCTCAGCAGTGCGCATCCACGATCCCTCACTCGCGAGATTCGAACCCAGGACCTACCAGTTTCGAGCCAGAGCCCTTAGCCAACTATGAAAATACTAAATCTCCACAAAACCCCTTCTGATAATTCCCAATTAATTAGTTACATCGGCAAACAAAAATCTTACCATTCTATGAAAAACTGAAATAGTGATGAAAATATAGAAAAATTTGTGCATTAGTCGAAACGTCTCAATTCATAATTGATATGACCATTGGTTCATTGAGACTGAGTGCAATCAAATTAACAAAGGTAGTTGAATACACGTTTTTTAAAATGTAAAGCTTCAGTTTCTTATAGTTTATGGCTATTGCTCCTCCCATTTTAAGTGTTCTACGTTTGCACGCTTTGGTAGATTAACATTATTAAGGTAGACTATGGAAGTGATTGATCCTTTCTAGGTTTATAGGCTGTTTGAACAATGTAGTTGATAATCGAGGAGTTTACGGTTACAGATAAACCTTTTCTTATTTACCCTAGAAGATGTTCACTAATCTAATAGGCCTTACAGAAGTATACAAAAGTAAACAGCGTCATTTGTTGGTTACAGAAAGTCTAATAGATGAACTATGTAGACTGTCTGCGTCCTTATTTATCTATCAGCATAATAAATTTTTGTAGTTTTAGCAACTAATACTTTCTATTAGTTATTCTCAACCAAAGTAAAAAATACATTCACTTAGTATTGTTTGTTTGATTATTCCCATTGATGTTTAGGACTGCAACTGGTCAGTCTCTAATTGGCATATGTACATACTGTGCGTATTACCTCGATATAGCCTAAATTCACAAGCATGTTAAGCAAAGATGGATAGTGACTAGCAATGTAATCAAGTTTGATGCGTGTTTCGTCCTATTTCAGACTCTTCAGATGAAGCGAAAGTTATTGGGGTCGAGTCCCAGAATGAAAGTAAAAAATAGCCTAACTCAATCTTCATCATACGGATATATATGTCAAATTAATGCAAATCATAGTATCATAATATTCATCAAAACAAAAAATAGAACTAATCAAATAAATGAATTGTTAGCCCGAAAACGTTTTCTACCTTTGGTACCACATTATCATACACATTCATATTTTTCGTCATTGGTATTTGATATGTATTTGACTTTAGATTGTTAGGTGAACACAATATATGCTGTTTTGTTCCAATTGCTTCTTTTCCACTAACCAATGGTTTGCTATTTGTATAGGATTGTACATTTGGAAAAGGAGATGAAGTTGAATAGTTTGTTTCTACGTTATTTATTGATGAATATAACCCATTTGATTGAAAAGGATTTGCTTGAACAATTGTTGGTTTTAAATAGTTCGTTACATTGTGTTGATTAGGTATAGGAGATCTACTGAACTCTTCTTTTACACAATTATCATGTAATATAGTTTCTGGTGAATGAAATCTTTCTGTTTCACCAGCTAACATAGCATCATCAACTTCACGTCTCCATCTAGTAATAGCACCAAATTTCTCACGCCATAATTCTGCATTAAATAAATCTTCATTTTGTTGATTAGTTGAATCATTTTCTTCTTCATCATAATTATAATCTTTGATAATCTCTATAGGTTTTTTATCGTACTGACATTCAGGTAATATATGAACTTTTTTAATAAGATTTTGATGAGTTACATAATTTTTATGATCATTAAAAAATATCTGATTCCCAGTTTTATTATATGGTCTACTAGAAACAGTAGCTAATACATGTTCTTCATATCGTTGAGCTGCAGGTGAAAGTGACATTTTTAATTTATGCTTAACTTTTTCATTTTCATAATCATCATTGTGACTATTCGTGTCATTTTCTTTATCATCTACATCATTATCATTATCATCTTCTATATAATTATCATAGTAAATTCTTGGCGATAATGACAATTCATTCACTCCACTTAGTTGTAATGGAGAAGTTTCTTGTTTATGTTTAATTTTATCATTAATAAAAGAGATTTTTCTTTGACAATAATCTTGTAATGATAAAAATTGTTCTTTATGATTGAATAATTCAAATGAATTATTATTATTATTATGCACAAAATGTTTTCTATCTACTGATATACTACTTATTAAACTAGATGTAGAAATTGATGAATAAGAAGAAAATAGTATATGTTTTAATTTGTCGTTCGGATATTCTGTTTTCTTGTTTAATTTCACATTAGATGATATATGTTTAATTGTTTTATCAAATAATTCAATTCTATCAATATAGTTTGTTGTTGTTGGTGGTGGTGTTGGTGTTGTTGTTGTTGTTGGCGGTGTTATTGAATGATTCCTTAAATTAGATTTTAAAAGATTATAATCTATTGAATATATACTTGGATATATAGTTGAATATCTTCTATGAATGGGTATTATTAAATGATCAATTAATGTAGTATTATTATTATTTTTTTTATTATTTTGTTTAAATGTTTTATTTATATGTTTATGAAATGTGTCTTGTTTTTTATTGGAGCATTTTGACCAATCAGATTTATTGTTTAAATTATGATGTGTCTGTATTCTATTATTAATATATGTATAGGGGGGATTATTTTGTGTTCTTATTATTTTTGTATTTTTATTATTTTCATTAGTTCCTTGTAAATTATTTAATGGTATACTAGAAGGTATATTAACATTATCATTATTATTACCATTATTATTACTATTATTATTACTATTATCATTATTACTATTACTATTATTATTATCACTTATATTATTACTATTATTATTACTATCATTATTATTATTACTATTACTATTATTATTATCACTTATATTATTACTATTATTATTACTATCATTATTATTATTACTATTACTATTATTATTATTACTTATATTATTACTATTATTATTACTATCATTATTATTATTACTATTACTGTGATTATTACTATTATTATTACTATTATCATTATTATTATTATCTAAATAAATACAATGACGTCTCAAAGTGACCGATTGGGGGTGTAAAAAATTATTATAATAATCTAAATATTCATGATTATTATAATTGGGAAATTCGATATTATTTTGATATAAATATTTTTTATTTATTATAATTTCTTTAGCTGAATCATTTAAATCTCTATTATTATTATTATTATTATTACTATTATTACTATTATTATTATTACTATTAGTACTATTACCATTATTACCATTAGTACTATTATTATTAGTATTATTATTAGTAGTATTGTTAGTAGTATTATTATGCTTTTCAAATGTTTCTGTAGTTTCAATATGATTTAATGTTGAATTAGAAGAATAATGATTATGTAATTGATTCTCCTTATATAATAATTGTATTAATTCATAAGAATTTTGTTGTTGATTTTTTTCAATATTATTGAATTCATAATCATTAATTAAACGTATAAATGATGGAGAATAACCTTTCCCAATATATTTTGTTTTATTATTATTATTATTATTATTGGTAAGGGGAAAAAATTCTGATTGATTTATAATTGAATTAGTTGTTGATGAATTTGAACTTGTACATGTTGATAAAATTCCAAATTGTGAAATTTGTACATATTCATTATCATTATGCTTATATTGTCTTTGATTATTAACAAAATCATATTTGTTATCTATACAATTTTTAATATTATAGTTTTGATAGTTATAATCATTATTAGTAGATTGTAAACATAGATCTGTTAATTTATTATTAATATTTATAGTAGTAGATTTAGTCATTAGATTATTTTCTATAATTTTGTTTTTTGTAATTCTTGGTGGTTTTGGTTTAAAATAATTTTCCCAATAACGTTTAGCTAATTCAACTTTATTTATTGTTTTTAAATCAATATTTCTATGGTTTATATTCATTTTATCTAATGGGGTATGATTGGTAGATTTAGGGTTTTGTTTGTTTGATATAATAAATCGATGATAAGTTTTTGTTGTTTTAATGCCTGAAATATCATTGAATGCAATGGTACTATCATTATTTAATATATTGATTTTATTAAAATTATCATAATCATTCATTAATCTTTGATTAAGGCATGGTTGATCTGGTAATTTGATAGGATTAAAAATATTAGATGAAGTAGGCTTTAATGATTTAAAGCAGGTATCATGGCTAGTTAGATTGATTTTTCTTTTGAATTTGTGATTCATATAGTTTTCTGTTTGATATTGACATTGAACAAGTGTTGTTAATAAGCTTTCTTCACTATACTGTGAAAGGTTTGACTTAGATACTGAATTATTTTTAATTTTATTGATGAAATCGTTTTCTATAGAAAAACCTTCATTAGCTATGAGTAAACTATCAAATTCAGAATGAGAAACACTTTCTGCAACTAATGATTGTGGTGGACTATGAAGTAAATATTTTGGAGATAAATCATTCATAATTTTTTCATCCGCTTTAACATGATATTTGTTCATATCCATAATTTCAATATTAATACGTTGGCTATTTCTGTTGTTGTTACAACTGTCAACAACTTCGTAACTTCGATGTGATACAGCTGGTGCAGATGTTCTTCGTGATTTGTTTTTTACTGGACTAAGATCTGGAGCTGGATAAGGTGGTGCAGGTAATGAAGGTGGAAACATTTGTCTTTGATTTGTTGATGTACTTGAAGATGTAGAAAATCTCTGACAATAAACAAAAAAGAAGTGGAATTAGTTGCGTACTTAAAAATTTTCTGTAGATAAATAGACTACTTTTAGTGATAATTCATGAAGTATTCGGTACTATTGCAATTCAGCTCTGCTTAATTGTTTATTCATTGTGCTCGGAGTTCTAACTTATAATTGTCAAAATGTTATCTTGCTCTGATGTTCAAATCAGTAATGGCATACATTTCAATAATATCATAAATTTGATTCTTTCAACTATTCTGAGCGGTAGGAAATCAATAAAATCTAGATGGTTTCTTTTCTGAGTCCGGTTATTCATCAGCTGATGAATGTAGTGTTTAATCATCACTTCAAATGTTATTAGAGTAATCAGGATCAAGTGAATAATGCATTCACTTAGCTTATGATAATGTTTACAATCAAGAGATTTCAATTTGAATCAAGTGCAAAGAAAACTACCGTTGCTAAGCCTTTAGAGCTAATAATCACAAATCTGTATTTCCGAGTGAAATTCGTTCGTTTATTCAACAGTAATTACTATTATCATTGTTACTACTCACGATAACACTGTTAACTCTTCATAACACCAGAATTCTTGTTAATAATTTTATGTGTGCATATATTTGATTATTTTGTATTGAGTTCTAGCTCTTTATGTTTATATTGGCTTATTGATGTACTACAACCATTTTCATTTAATTTGTTAACTAAACTACTCACTAATCAGAAGTGGTTTTGTGGAGATTTCAGTATTTTCATAGTTAAAATCATGAGTCAATTGAAGCTAGACTATCAATGAGAACCTGGAATCACTGGACCGCCGTTTCATCCTACCGTGGAACTTCTCAGTAGTGCGCATCCACGATCGAGACTGGTAGGTCCTGGGTTCGAATCTCGCGAGCGTAGGATCGTGTTTGCGCACAGCTGAGGAGTCCCACAATAGGAAGAAACGGCCGCCCAGTGATTTCAGGTTCTCCATGATGGTCTAGCTTCAATTTACCCATGATTTCAACTATTCACTGATCGTTTATATTCATTAAAATATTTTCGTTTCATTAAGAAATCGAAGCTCAAAAAGTAACACACTCGTTTTTATAAATTTTCTTCTACTGAATGACGCCAATCAGAGACTTTGAATGATAACTGGCTAAGATGAAAGTTATTAAATGTGATACAACTACTGATGGTACAATGGTTAAACACATATTTAAGTATCCAATGATAAATCTAAAGTAATTTATAACGCTTTATTAAATTACAATTGATTGATCACTGGGTTGTGATCAATGTCATGCGTGTCAAGTCCGTTTTAGTGCTGACCGAATGCTATCGATTAAGTTGCAATGCGGCCACTAGTCTAGGTGGCTCGACACTGAGTACACTATGTTGAGATAAGATGGTGGTTGGAGGTGGTCAAGAGGAAACAATGGGACCGGGTTTCGTGCTACTTGGCACTCGTCAGTTTTGTTAAATTGAATAAATGCAACACAGCTGATCTTGTGCAGGATTCATACCTCATTGAAATTGGGATATTCATGAAAATCATACCTTTTATTGTTATTTAGTAGCTAAAAAATGTGAATTTCATAACACATAAATTTTCGGGTGCGTTTCGTGGTACTTAAATATACATTTCAGTAGCACAAATATACATGTAGTTTTTATTCATGTACAGTGGAAGTGTGATTTGTGCTACTGATATCGACAGATCAGTAGTATGCATCGTCAATCAAAAGTGAAATACCTAAAGGCAGAAGGTTAAGAAAATCGGAGAGGAAAGAATAAAAACATAGAAAGATTTGTAAAGGAATGAAAGAACACCGAGGTCTGAAACGATTGACTGATATCTGGAAAAGAAACAGTCAAGTTCGAGACATTTAGTTGAGGTTTTGTAAATTAAGTATTTACTGTAGGGTTCTCAGATTTCACCAAGATGTTGTGCAATTTTGAGTTAAAATACTTTCGATTGTCCCTAATTGTGTTCTCTTTCACTACAATAGTCATTTAGGTGTACATGAAATGCTCAATAAGTTAGACAATTTGAAAGTATTTAAAGGGGATAAAATATTGCTTTACAAAATTCTTTTTAAATGCTTTTGTTCATTGAACCCAATTTGTTGTTTAAGCAACTTAATAAACTTAACCACATTCATCTTTTTATACCAACGAAATAAACATTCCGTTGAAATGTGATCAAAAATTTAGTCATTAAATCTTCGTACCTGACAGCTAATATTCAACACCATTCTAAGAGTTCTAAGCGTTCAAACCACTATGAATGCTTATGGATGCTTAGTTTTACACTAATCCTCAGATAGATCACATACATTTCCATGCTAATAATGGCCTAAGTAAACACATGAAACAAACACTATTATCTGATATCGTTACATTACTCATAAAGAGTAGTTTTCGGAGTCTGAAAAGGTCTACACTTAACTTGTTCGACTTTCAAAGTCAGTTCACACTTATGAAGAAATTATTTTTTGACGGAGCAAATTCAAATATTAACTAACAGATGGTATTTAAAAGCTCTTATTACATATATAAAATGATGTTTGGTTACAATACATACTTACTTACGTACACCTATTACCCCTCGTGGAGGATCATAGGCCGACCGCCATCACTCTCTATCCAATACAATACATTAATGAAAAATTGTTCACAGTTATACTAATTACATTAATCAATTAAAATTGGTAACTCTGATGATTTTGTTGGTAAATTTTACTCTCACTATCAAATGATACATGTCAATGAATTAATGTATTGGATTTTGCAATTATAATGTATAGTACATATTAGATGTATTTGTAAAGGCATTCTATTTCCATTAGATGTTCACTAATGACAATAAACATCTTTCAAGTAAGCAGAGATGGATAGCGGCTAGCAGTGTAATCCAGGACGCGCGTTTCGTCCTATTTGGGACTCGTCAGCTGGATGTACCTGCATCTCTGAGTTGATGTTCACTCTGGGACTCGAACCCAGTACCCTCGCTTCAAACGCCATTGCGTTATCCACTCGGCCACTGAGTCCTGATAGCCACTTGCTTGTGCGATGGGGTGAAGTTTGAATTCACTTAGTATTGTTTAATTGTTTGTATCGTACGATGGGAAGATCCCAACAAACAATACTAAGTGAATTCTTTCAAGTAAGTTTATAGATTTATGTCAGGTAAAGTAGTACTTTACACTATTAAATGTTGAATATATATATGGCAAAATATGTCAATCATTTGCTCAGATTTTAATAAAGATATCAATATAGGATTGAATATCATTTAAAAGTAATTGATATTACGGAAAAACTTTAAGTGTTTAGTTATTCATCACTAATAATTCGTTACAGTTCTACTGTACGGAGCTGAAACTTCAAGAACTACTACAATCATCATCAAGAAGGTACAAGGATTTATAAACAGTTGTTTACGCAAAATACTCAACATTCACTGATTGGATACTATCAGCAAAAGTGTTTTATGGGAGAGGATAAATTAGCTTCGAGCTGAAGAGGAAATTAGGAAAAGACGTTGGAAGTGGATTGGACATACATTGAGGAAATCATCAAACTGCATCACGAGGCAAGCTCTAACTTAAAATTGTGAAGGGTAGCGGAAAAGAGGAAGACTAAATAACACATTACGTCAGGAAATAGAAGCAGTTATGAAAAAGGATGAATGTTAACTGGAAAGAACTGGAAAGGATAGAGAATACTGGTGTGCAGTCTATGCTCCTCAACAAGGGGTAACAGATGTAAGTAATTAAGTAAGTAATAATTCGTCAGGTACTATATGACTGTTTATTTTTGGACTAGATTTCAGGTATCATGGTAAACTTCTCAAGGACTAGTAATGATAATAATAAAAATGACGTAAACAGTTTCATGACATTTTAAGCCAGTAGATAGAAATATTTATATTTTCCAATACAGTTGTTTTAGAATTCAGTTATACATTTTTGGATTTGGAAGTGGATACGTCCACTTTTCTACTTTTTTATATAACAAATAAGTTGGAAACAATGTACTGAATTAGAGTAACAGGATATATTTTAATTATTTAAAATAAATTCCTCTTATAACAAAATTGAAGGACTTTATCATCGAAATTACACGACTATGAACCACTTGATATCTGCTTATAAAAGTTTCATAAACAATTTTAAGGAATAAGCAAAAGATGGACAATGGCTAGCAGTGAAATACAGGATGCTCGTTTTGTCCTATTTAGTACTCGTCAGTTGGATGTACCAGCATCCATCTTGCTTATAATGCTTGTGAATTAAGGCTATATCGAGGCATTACACACAAAAAATGTACATATATCAATAAGAGACTGATCAATTGCAAGTTACTGACCTTTGAATAGGAACTGACAGATACAACTGAATGTTTATTTAATTTATTATTTCATTTCTATCATTGATTTCTATTCTAAATTTACTGAATACAAACTGCTCATAATTATGTTGAAAAAAGTGTTTCCAAATATCTAAGTATCTGGTTATAACATGATTTAATCTCTGTATAGTATATAGATCAAATATTCACTTTAGTGGTACCATTATCATATAATAGAAAATATTTTCACTCTACCGTTATGTCAGTATGCATACAAAATTAGGATTTGACATTTAGAACAATGATTTATCGATAAAATCCGGGGGGGGGAGTTTCTCTCTTGGTTTCTTTTTTTTTTTTAACTGTCCTCTCTTACATTGAAATGTCAAATGACTTCTTTATAACGTCAAACAGTAATGAAATTGTTCACTGGTGTATAAGCTGAATTGTTTATGACATTTCTAGGCTATGAAAATATAGAAGAACTTTTGTTTAAATTTGAACGTATAGTTCCACAGTAGATAGGTACTGAGTTAATGTTAGACATTAGAGAGGAAAATTACACTTATAAAATTTCAAAGATTGAATTTTAAGTAAATCTAACGTTTCACTTGGCAATCTGATTCAAACTTATAAAATTGTCTGTTTTTATCATAAATTCACCGATCAAA